TGTGGGCTGAGGGCTGGCCATGTATTCATTCAGTTGACACCCCAGTCCCTAGAGAGGTAGGACCATGCTTATCCCTCTTTGACGGGTGGGGAAAGCCCCATACAGAGTAGCGAAGTTTTGCCCAAGACCACATCGCCGGTCAGTGGCGGAGCTGTGCGGCGGCCCGGACCCACGAGCCTCTGGGAGATATTGCCCCCTCCGGCCAGCTGGGGCCAGACTGTAGCGTCCAACGGGCCCGGCTCTGAATCTGAATTCATTCCTGACTTACAGGCTGGGTGACCGGGGACAAGTTTTTTAGCCTTGCTCGGCTTCACCTTCCTCATCTGTAAAATGTGGTTGCTTGAAATGATGTCAAAAGGCAGTTACGGAATGAAATGAGATGATGGGAGCAAGTGCTCCCTGCATAATGAAATACTCTTTAACACTGATGAATACAGCAAGAAATGAATGATCGAGGGGCGCCTGGGTCCCCCTGGCCCTTCAGAGATGCCCCCACCCTGGCATCTGCTGGCCCCCCTCCTCCCTCTGAACTCTCCCTCCAGGGTGGGGGTGCATGGGCACCAGAGCTGCCAGACACCTAAGGGAGCCTCCAGCTTTTTAGGGGGACCTTTCGTAGAAGAAATCCAAAGCCCTTAGAGTCTTTGCTGCCTGATAGCCAGAGCCTGGGACGCACAGTGTCAGTGAGCGAGTGAGTCCAGGGTGAGGAGTTGCCAGGAGAGATCGGGGCTCCCCTGGGTCCCACTGGGCCATTTGAGCTCCCAGGAGAAGATCCTCGAGGATGGCACCCTCTCCGTGTCCTTGGCTTTCTGGTGGGACCCCGAGTTCTGCCAAGTGCAGGCCCTCCCCTATGTTTCCATGTCTCCATACTCATTCTTGGACTAACAAGTGACCGCATTCCCACTGGGTGTTTCCAGGTAGCGTTTCCTTGTGGCCGCTGGGGCTCGCAGCCTCTGGACTCTGGCACCGATGCCTTAGTGACCCCGCTCAGTAACAGGTCGGGCCCCTGGAGAAGGAGGACAGAACAGGTGAGTCTTCCTTTGTTCCTTCCTTTATTTTCCCCTTAACATGGGAAAGCAGCTTTGTTCTTGGGATTATAGAAGTAATATATGCTATTGGAAAAAAAATTCAGACACCACAGAAGCATCTAAAGAAGAAAGCAAACCAACCCCTCCTAAAGTATGTTGGGTAGCCCCTTAGATGGTGCAGATATAAACTATCTTCATCCAAGCAGGACCAGAATGTTCCACCACACAGTGGCTTGGAAGGCTGCCCCTTCTACCCCGTGTTATGTGACCACAAACAAGTTACTCAACTAGCAGTGCCTCGGTTTCCTCATCTGTCGAATGAGGATCTGAATATAGTATCTACTTCTAATGTTATCAGGAATCAAATGAAATAATCTCCTCCAGGGCCTTAGTACAGTGCTTGGCACACAGCGAGTACTTAGACGTGTTAGCTCCCGGGGCGCCTGGGTGGCTCAGTTGGTAAAGCGTCTGCCTTCGGCTCAGGTCATGGTCCGGGGGTCCTAGATGGAGCCCCGTGGCGGATTCTGTGCTCAGCAGGGAGTCTGCTTGTCCTTCTCCCCCTCCCCTGTCCCCCCCCCCGCTCATGCTCTCACTCTCTCTCTCAAATAAATAAAATCTAAAAAAAAAAAAGAAGTGTTAGCTCCTTCTGCTGTTATTCCTCACAACACCTCATGGCTGTCTTCCTACGGCAGCACATTAAGATTTAAGCCCTTCTCGTCCAACAGCCGGGCGGTGTCCCCCTGCGTGAGTCCCCCTGGATGGGTGTCAGTTTACGGGCCTAGGTCTCCTCATTTGGATGGATATTTATGCAGTTCTCAACTTGGGGGAACTATTGTAAATGACTCCCAGGAGTCTTGCCACACTGGCCAGTCTGTCTCCTTGGGGGAAATTCTCAGAATGGTAATTATAGGTCAGAAGGTTGCTGGGTGGGCAAGTTCAGAATTCCAGTGTGTGCACAGTTAAAAAATGGGATGTGCAGGGCTCAGTACTTGGGTCTCCTCCTTCTGTTTTACGCACGCTTTGAACCCCATCTCGGGGATGACAGCTCCCGTATTTACCAGCCCAGGCCTTGTGCTGGGGCTCAGATGCCCAACCACTTGTTGGACGTGGCCTTGAGTGGCCACCTCAGCTGTCTCTTGTCCACAGCAGAGACCTGCTGTGTTGCTGCTCCCCAACCTGCCCCTCCCAGGGCTTCCTCGTCTCTGTCAGCAGCAGCTCCATCCTCCACGCTCTCAGGTCAGAGGCCTCGCTCAGTGTCACCTTTGGCTCCTTCCTCCTCTCTCGCCATGTTCACTCTGTAAGGGAGTCTCTGCTCTACCTTCAGGATAAATCCAGAATCCAGTCCCTTCTCATCACCTCTCTCACCTGGATTGCCGCACCAGCCTCAAAACGGCTTCCACCCTCACCCCGTTCAGTCTAATGCAACAAGAGACAGGAGGGAGTCTGTCAAAACAGATCAGATATCTCCCCCACCCCCACCCCAATGACTCTCCATCTCACTCAGCTCTCAGTGGGGCCAGCATCTGCCTCCCCCGACCTCACCCCTAGTTTAGCGATTATCGGATATCTTCTCCTCTTATCTCCTTCCTGACCACTCTGCTCCAGCCACACTGACTTCTTCATGGTTCCTTGCATGTGCCAGGTAGGCTTCTACCTCAGGACCTTTGCACTTGCTGTCCCCTCCTCCCAGAATGCTCTTCCCTCCGATATCTGTGTGGCTCCCTTTCTTACTTTCCTTAAGGTTATTTTTCAAACATCAATTTCTCAGTGAGGCTTCCTTAGTTTCCCTTTAAACACACACACACACACACACACACACACACCATTCTCCTGTTTCCTTTCTTGTTCTTTTCTTCCACTAGGGTGATCAACTATTCTGGTTTGCCTGGAACTGAGGGGTTTCCTGGGACCTGAGAACTTTCTGTGTTTTTTTAAAGTTTTATTTAAGTGATCTTTACACCCAAAATGGGGCTTGAACTCACGACCCCGAGATCAAGAGTTGGATGCTCCCCTGACTGAGCCAGCGAAGCGCCCCGAGAAGTCTCAGTTTTAAAACTAGGAAAGTCTGGGATGATTTGTCACTCTCTTTAAGCACTTATCACATCTGATAGGCTCTACATTTTACGTATTTATTTTGTTATATAAGAATATAAACTCCATTAAGGCAGACATTTTTGTCCGTCTTATTCACTGCTATCTCCCCAGTACGGGCACTGCATTTGGCTCCTATCAAGATGCTCAACAAATATTTGTTCAATGAAAGAATGAACTCATGGCCAGCCTGGTTCCAGAGAGATTGTGCCAATGAGGTTTTCTTGGGCTTTTTAAAATGCCCTACAGCAGGGCGCCTGGGTGGCTCAGTTGGTTAAGCGACTGCCTTCGGCTCAGGTCCTGATCCTGGAGTCCCGGGATCGAGTCTCGCATTGGGCTCCCTGCTCAGCAGGGAGTCTGCTTCTCCCTCCCTCTGACCCTTTTGGATCTCCTGCTCTCTCTCTCAAATAAGTAAATGAATAAAATCTTAAAAAAAAAAAAAATACCCTACAGCAGGGAGGTAGCGTCAGGTTGGGTGCAGGCAAACTGCTGGGCCAGGAATGGGGCAAAGATCTATGGCTTGTCCATTTTGCCTTTTTTTTTTTTTTTTTAAGATTTATT